CACTTTAAATCCAATGACAAATTAAAAAGGGATCAGATACCATAAAATCAAAACTCGTATTTACTGAAATTACTTAATAAAAGGCTCAAAATTATTATAAGAACATCAGAGAACATGGGTAAGAACTTATTTTAACTTTACATTAGTATATGATAAATTAACAATGTCAAAACAAAATGAATTTATAAAAATATAAAATATGTGCTCAAGTTTACGTTGTAGTCAGAGTTGCATTATTTTTATTAAGAATAACTATTCATCCCATACAAAATAATACTTGCTTATTTGACGAGGAGAACTAAATATAAGGTTATGATATCATAAACACGTTTCATTTAAATATTCACAGTAACATTACATTGCTAGTCAGCAAAAGTACAGAATGTTTCACAGACTGTGTGACTTACAAGGGAAAGCAGTAACAGTGTCTGGCTGTTATTAGTGAAAGAATAAAAATGTAGTATATGTCATGGATTAACAAATGAGTGTTCTTGATATTTAAACTGAGTGGTCATCAAATTTTAATTTTATCTGGGACAATCCTTAAGTGCATTTTTTAATATGTGGAAAAATTTCCAAATACTTTAACTAGGTCTAAGTGTTAATACTGCTGTCCTTGATGACCTATTCTTCTTGTATAGTTACAGGAAAAATACATTTTCTTAGAGACTTTTTATCCACACTGTCCTTTTCCTGTCCTCCCTCAATCACAGCATATGTGCAATAAAAAACAAAAGAGGCTGAAAGATGATTACTATTGTGGATTTAGTGTTTTTTTTCACTTATCTCTCTGAATCATACTGTCTGCAACTTATTGGGCTGCTTCTTTCAACTGTTCAGAAATCAATCATTATGATGCATTTCTCAAAAAAAAAAGGAAATTAAATCAATGAAGATTATTTTTCAGTCTAGCATTTTGGCATCGAATCAATTTGGTGTCTTAGGTCAGTGCTGTGAACTTAACATGTTCTAAGTGGAAAAGGTTTGGATATCACCCATGGAAGGAATACAGTTAGGAAGTATTTTAAAAGGTCTGACAATAGCAGCAACATCTTTTCACTAAAACCTGAAATTCTGCAATGTGTCTTTTAAAACTGAATTTTAGTCAAAGTTTTAAATATAATGGCAGTGGTAGGATGAAGATCACATGACAGAGGGTGAACAGTGTAAAGAAATGAGATGTAGAGCCATTTATCGGCCAAATGATCTTGGACAAGTCATCGGACCTTTCCAAATTGGTTGACCAATCTCTAAATTTTGGGTGGTGTTAGTACTTCTTGTGGATGTTGTAGGAAGAATGTAGACCATGTGAATGTTTGCAAAGCATGATATATGTATCAATAAACAAATGTTGGACAAACTTGAGGTGGTGTGTCTGATATTCTGATCTCTGTGTAATTAATATCTACTTAATATTTCAAAAACAGATGCTTATAACATTTAGTATATTACATAGAAATACTACATACATTGTTGGCTTTCCCGTGTGTGTGTGTGTGTGTGTGTGTGTGTGTGTGTGTCTATAAAATACACGTGGGAGCTTTTAAATGTAAATGATATCATTTTACAGAGTAGTTGAAAATGGTTTATACAGTGCCCTTAAAGTTGAAAAAAAAGAGATATTCTTATTTGGTTTACAGGCATACAATTTTATGGCATTTGAGAAAAACACTGTGACAATTTAAAGTAAACTACTTAAGCTTCCCCATCCCCAAACCCAGCATTAAGAGATCACACCATAGAGATAATTTACCAAAAGAGATATTACTATGGTTCATTTGGTCTGGTAAGTTCACAAATGATTTTAAGATACAGTATAATTACAATATGCTAGAATCACCACTTAGTAAATTTCATAAACTTTACAAAAAGGACAAAATCACTTTTCACAAAGATCACTAACACTAACACGAGAGACTCAATCACGTCTACGTAAACCTGAAAATTCAGATTCATAAAACCAAATGATCAAATTAACTGTTTTTTAATTAATTGCTCCACTAGTCAAAATATACACTTTTTATTATGACAGAGGCCTTTAAAAATTGCCCCCTTTTCTGAATGAAAGCAATACAATACCAAATCTCTGGATGAATAATTTCAGTATGACAAAATATTTCTGTATCATTAAAATGGACTGCATTTAATTTTTCTAGTGTCCAAATTCTAGCATTCTTCTAACCTAATCTCTTTCTACCATAAAACCAATATAGTCACCTGTTACCTTTGTTGTGCAAACACTGTAACCTTTTATTTCTCAACTTCCCACTAATGCCAAACAAAAGTGTTTGGGCTATCCCTGAATTTTATTTCTCACTCCTGAGCAAAATTAATTAAAATATGGCTCTACCTGGCCTCCTTTGTATTAAAATTTCATAAAATTTTATGAGTATTAGTTTACTAGTCATTGCTTCTGGCTCTAAAAGGGCATTCAACTTTTAAATGTGACAAAAATGTACTTTACAATCAGCTACAGTCCATCAGTAAGCAAAATATACTTGGTTCTGCTTTACCGAATTTATTAAACCACAACATTTAAAGAGAATAACTGGAGCAGACATGTTGTGTAAACAACTAATTCAGCAAAGATGAAATGATAAATCATAATAGTTAAGCCACAGCCAGAATGAAAATAAGATTTGACCTTTTTATGTTTCTCTAAGGCCAATTAGTAATAGTAGAAATGTAAACATTTCAGTTTTTAATCTACTCAGTCCCTTGAGTAGAAATACGTGACATTAGTGAGTGGGGCGGGGGATAACTGGCACAGATATGCATATATTATGAAAATTTGAAAATGTTATCAAACTTTTGAAAATGAAAGAAACTGATTACTAAATTTAAACTTTCCACTTTACAGATAATGAAAGTGAGGCTATGAGAAGTTAAAGGGAACTTTCTGGGGAACATGAGGGTTATTGGCAGAGCCAGCACTAAAGTACAGACACCTACTTAAGCTCTCCTGTAATAAGAATCAAGAGATCACATGGCAAACACTCATATGGTTTAACCTTTTCCCACCTTCCCCTAGTCTCAAGTTTGTAATGTTGAGTGTGTAATACAATTCTGGCATTTTTTTATGTAATTTGCTAACCACATTAACACCTAACTAAACAGACATTCTCCCATTCTTTCTAGTGATTCCATTAATCTGTTTTCCTTCTGCAGTGATTTTTCTATTTTTTCACGATCCATTATAGACAAGGGAAAATTCTTAAGAGGAAAAAGAATTCTCTTGCCTCTTCTCATAACCAATTTGAAGAATGATAAAATTATGACACTTTCAAGGCTTAAATCTTGTTTCAATTTATTCTTCTCTTTAGAAAAGCATCAGAAAATATGAGTGTGTATGTATCCTTCGAAGTATTTTTTAGGAAATGCATATAGTAGGTTTGGGGTCTGAAGGGGCTTTGGAGATTATTCAACTCAGCATACTCATTTTGCAATTGAAAAAACTGGGGTCTAGTTACGGTAACTGACATCTGGGGTCCCACAGGTAGGAAGTAGGCAAAAATTCTAGGTAATGTTCTAGGTGAATATTATGTTCATTATCGATTCTGTGATCATATTTGGTCACTCATCTGATACAATTTTGTGATTTCCTTGTGAGAGTCCAGGTCCTATATTTATTGAAATTGTATCCTGTAGAAATAATGCAGATATGATATTAAATATATTGTAATGACTAACATGGTGTCACTGGTGCTTTATGAAGGTCGTTTTTATGCCCACTTGTGTAATACCTAGTGATCCCTACTAAAACATCTGCGTGCTTAACAGCTCCTGTAGCACAGTTGATCAGTTTGTTTCAATCATTCTAGGCTATCATCACCAGTGATAAGGATTAAATTGGCTGCAATGAAATGACTATTCCGTGGGCCAGTACCTCTACTACATGGGCTAATACAGAATAAAAACCAAGTGGTGGCTATATTTTCACTTTAATCACAAATAATTCCCATTGGAGATTCAAATAGCTCAAATATGAGATAGTTCTCATTCCTTTATTTCACCTTTTCCTATAGTGATCTGGTCTGCAAGTTTTGACCACAAGAAATTACCAGAAGATTATAAAACGTTTATTGTAGACATTGCCTCAAAGAAAGTTACCTGGTTTGTATCTCATATTCATGGGTTTTGCTGCCATTAGGTGAATAATTGTTTAGTTAATGATTTCTATACATTAATGAAAGTCATCACCTGTATTTCTTTCTTTTTTTTTTTTTTTTTTTTTTTGTGCCGGGGATCGAACTTGGGACCTTGCGATTGCGAGGCAGGCGGTGGCACCACTGAGCTAAATCCCTGGCAAATCACCTGTATTTCCATCTAAAGGCATTGAAAAGTTTATAATCTTGGCTTTGCACCCGAAATATTTTACAGTAATTAAAATTACATAAGCACTCTAATTATAATTTAGCATTGTTATTCATTTAAACAATAGGACAGTGTATTTGTTCGGGTATATGTTGAAAATCAAACACAGAAATGAAAAAGATCTTCTATACTATATGTTCACAGTTTGACTTTCCATAAGGCTTATGAAATAATATACAAATAGCTACCATTCTGCTGAAATGTCACAGTAAATACATTAATAATGGCACAGAAGTGAATGTCCCCAAACGGGAAACTATCTTCATGACACTCTAAATATCTTTTCCAATTAAAATTTTTCTGTTTTTAATTGAAAAGGAGTTCCATTTCTAAAAGAATATAAAAATAGAAAATGAATCAAGGGATTTTTTTACACATATAATCTTGAAGAAAAAGCTAAGCCATTAGCTGAAACATTTTATATATCTTTAAGAATGTGCTTTGTCTCACATTGAATATCTTATTAAAATAAAACTGAATTATTATACATGAACTATTTAAAAGTATAACTAAATGTTAAAATTTTAATTGACATAGACACCTTAAACACGTAAGTACTAATAATCTTTTGTAAAGTTAAGGTAAGCTAAAACCTACCTATAAGACTAATTTGTAAATATCATTTTAAAGTAAAAAATAAAAGAATATTTAATCAAGCAAGGCACATTTCTTTTAGGCAAGTCTATCTTTAATACCATTATTCTGGGCACAGTGTCGACTTTGCTTATTTATGTGTAAGTGGCTAAACTATGTATGGGGGCCTTTGGTACAGAACATACCTTCAAAAGTAAAGTTCCACATAACCAGAACACATAGTATGACACGAATATATCTCATCATTAAATACAGTCCAGTAATTAATTTAAAAAATAAGATAGGTAATGGTTTATTAGAAACAAACACCTAGGCTTTCTTTATGTGCAACACTGAATATATTTTTGCATGATTAGATTTTATCAAAATGTCAAAGGATTCAAATACCTTGATATTTTTAACATTCTTTGTCTCTTGATCAGTATCTTTTATCCTGTACACAGGATGAAGAGAATCCTTCAGCTGCAAGCTGTTTTCTTTATATAAATTATTATTTAATGTAAACTAAAATAAAAATATGTGCTAGTGGACAGATCCCTGCCCATCAGTGACGTGAAAACTGCTACTGCATTCTTGGTTCAGGCAAATGAAACCTTAGCATCTTTCTGGTTAGGACTGCTTTGTACTGCTCATGTGGGGCTCTTCAAGGATCTGTTGGATAAAACACAAGCATTAAGTATATATTTACCTTTCAAATAATTACAGACTTTATGACAATAAAAAGTTCCATTCATATATTTTTAAAAAACTGAATCTTTTCTCTTACCCTGGAAAGTTCAAGCAATTTAGTTTTCTAAATGCATTAACTATATATTGAATGCTTTTTATCTTTCAAATAATTACAGACTTTATGACAATAAAAAGTTCCATTCATATATTTTTAAAAAACTGAATCTTTTCTTACCCTGGAAAGTTCAAGCAATTTAGTTTTCTAAATGTATTAACTATATATTGAATGCTTTTAAGTTAGAAAAAGTTTCAGATTATGCTGAAATTATGAACTTATTCCCCCCCATAAATTAAGACTCTCAAGTTTTGTCCAAAACAATGTGATAGTCTGCTTTTTGAACAGAAAAATTTATGTTCATCCTTAAAAGCATTTGAAAAGTTCTCAGCGCCATTAATTTTTAGAAAAATGTATATGGATTTCCATGGGTTTGCCTTTTTCTGACTATACATTATATTGTGGTTATCTGAGAACTCTTTTGAAGGCAATAGAAACTCCACCCTGAGATAAGGATTATGAGCAGGAAAAAGAAGAGAAAGAAGGATCGGGAATTTAGCTCAGTGGTTCTGCTGCCTGCCTCACAAGCACAAGGTCCTGAGTTTGATCCCCAGTATCCCCCCAAAAGAGGGAAGACCTGTGCACACAGGATGAGGGGGAAGGAAGAGGAGGGGAGCAGGAGAAAAGATTTATAAAGGAATAGTTTCTTTTGAAATCAGTACTGTGGAAATCATGTTCTAGTGCCACTGTGAAAATCATGTCCTAGTGACATGGAATGTCATGTTTATAGTTTATATTTTTGCTACAAATCTGCTGATCCTTTAAAATATGAACTCTGCACAATTATGTTCACTTGAAAGCATCATGAATTTAAAAAACAAAACCACTTGACCAGGGGCTGTGAAGAATTAATAAAGGTTACAGATTTAATGGTTCTCTTCCCCAACTACAAAACATGATTTAGAAATGCCAACAGAACATGACAGTGTTTTTCACTGTTATATTCAGAATTCAGAATTCAGAATAGTATCTGACACATAGTAGACACTTTATATGTTAAATGGATGAATACATTTTTACTTTTTTGCATGTCTGACACACAGGAGATATTCAGTAAATATATATTGAATGAATAAAAAGATATATTAAAATTAGATTCTTGTGCTCTATAAATTTACTTTCTGTATAGTATAAAGGACTCTTAGGGAGACAAAAACAGAGGATACTAAATTCAGGCTTCTTTATTGTAATTCATAGAGAAGACTTCCCCATACATATTCCTGGGTTTAGTAGGTATCTCTTATCAGAGGTAAATACCCAAAGACAACAGTCTATAACAATGATGGTGAACCTTTTAGACTCTGTGATACACACAGCACACTGTGGCATGCGTGCCAATGGTTCGCCACCACTGGTCTATAATTTGTGCTTTTGAGGGAAGAATCACTCACTAAATACTGTATGCCTAGTGAGTGCTGTAAAACCATCTATTGAAAAAGTTTTCCTTACTAACCTGGACTATAGTTGATCATATTGCTCAAACTCATAGCTTCTAGTCAAAAAGCAAGAGTACAGTATATCCACCACATGCCTAGTTTTCATTATGGAAGTGTGTAAATTGCAGTAGTGTAATAGTTATTAATAGCTACACAAACAAGAAAACGTAGTGACAGTAATCATCTTGTAATAACAGTAATCATCTGGCATCCATTCTATTTCCTAAGTGCTTGGTTTTGGTTTTTGTTTAGTATTACTGCAGGTTTGCTTATCTTGAAATGGTTTGGTTACGCTACACTTGTCTTGCTGCTATTCCATCCTCTTAATATAAGGGTTGGACCTTTTTATAAAACCTCATGTGTTAAGTCCTGCCTGTCAAGGTCCTCACAATGAAGTCAGTGTAGAAAGGCATCCTCCTAGATTATAGGTGTGTAGAGTTGAAATTCAACAGAAACAACAAAAAAGTGATTGATGTTTATGTTAGTGGTTAAGAAGTTGGATGAAAGAAAAAGAATGAAGATTAACTATTAAAATCAACTCTGCTGTATACGAGATAATGTGAAATAGGAAGAAAAGATCCAGAAGGGAAGGGAAAGCGGGGGTGGAGGGTGGTAAAGGCAAAGAAAGAAGGGAAAGAAAAAAATATGAGAAAAGGAAAGAAATGGAAACAAAGTTATTTTGTTAATAGGGAGGGGTGGGGGAGTGAAAAGCAGGGAAAGAAAAAGGGAGGGGAAAAAAGAATCAATATATGCCATGTATAGGTACGAATTCCCAGTGATGAATGTATCATAATGTGCGCCTAAAATGCACTAATAAACTTAGTGAAAAAAGTATAGTAGGAAACGGTGACCTATAATCGAATTAATCAAATGAATGTTGTACCATGTAAGACAAGAAAAGAAGACAAGAACAGTCAAATTTCAATAATTATCAGTTTGTGAAGAACTCATTCACACCTCCATCAAGGCCTCAGTGAAAACATATAGACTCAGCTCCTTAACTGTTTGTTGGCCTTACTAAATTTACTTGACGAGTAAAGGACTGAAGTAAAACATATAGATGTCATGGGAATTTTGTTTTCACATGTCTATACTTTGACATCTGTTAACTTATTTAGAATTGGCCACACACCAGTAAATTCTACAAATTGTACCAATTAAATGGCAGTGAATAAGCCCAAAGGCTGGAAAGATTTCCTGCCCAATTATGTACAATACTCTGACTGAGGTTTTGGAAATTATGTACTCTTGGCAAATAAAAGGGGTTTAAACTCAGTAATTAAAATGAGTAATACGATAAGATGTGAACTGTCAAAAATCTGAGAAGTCATGGGAAAATGAGCTGTGAACTATAATGAATACTATTTCATGCAATATTTAGGTCTATTAATAATATCTTCAATTCACATAATTACACAGAAAATAAACTACAGTTTTGAAATAAGTTAAAATATTCGCAGGTAAAACATCTATAAAATCTTTGTATAAAACAATTAAAGCTTGGAGAAATTATTTCTATGATTTTGCTTCAAAGTCAATTTTGCCCTTCAGAAATTTGATATATAAGGTTTTGTTTAATATGCTTTCCATCAAAATTTCTTATAGATATTACGTACCAGTTAATAGTCGCTATTTTATTGTTCTGTAGTTATACATGAGGCAAATACAAAATATAATGGCACATGAGATTGTTTGTTAAGTGTCTGATCCCCTGATTATATCGTGTTATAAAGGAAAATCTAGTAAAGCTGATATTGAATTAAACAATAAAAATAAACAATGTTACAACACTTCATCCTACACCAGGGGCAAAAACATGAAAGAAATCAAAGAATTTCAATTCTTTATTTGGTCATCTCTTTTAAAAAAATCTCTTATAATTATCCTAAGAAGAGGTGAATAATCTGTTGTCTTGTGTGCTTAACTGATAAGCTGATGAAAGGAGAAAAGAATTTCTAATGTTTCTGATCTACATATATAAACTAAGTACACAGGTTAAATTTTTTTTTTTTTTTTTTTTTTTTGTACCAGGGATCGAACTCAGAATCTTGTGCTTGCAAGGCAGGCAGCCGTACCACTGAACTAAATCTCTGACCCCATAGGTTAATTTTTAATTTGTGGACACATTTGGTAAAGACATTGTGCCACCTGGATGCAAACAGAAAATAGCCAGGTCATTCTTTGGTTGGGGTCTGCCTGGGAAAGGAGAAAATTCAGAAGGGGTTTGAATAAAGTTTCTTGCCATTCCCACCAGCAGAACCCTCATTTTCTAGTGCAGAGGAAAGCACATCTGTCACAATATTACCTAAAATCTTGGCAATATCTGCACTAGTCACATTAATGCTTCAACTACCCACTTATTGAGAACCAAATGTACTCTAGGCACAATTTGTGGGGACACAGCACAGTGAACAGACAAAAAATTGTGTCCCCGTGGAAGGAAAGGGAAAACAGACAATAACCAAATAAGTAAAAATATCTGTGAGAGGAAAAATTAGGCAGAGAGAGAACACAGGGAGTGTTGTGAGATTGCAATTTTAAACCGAGTAGCCATGAAGACTGCAGTGAGAAGGCAACGTCGAGGAAGTGAGAGTGAGCCAGCAGATGGTAGAGGAACAGGAAGTACAGACTCCAGGGTGGAGCACGTTTGCCACGACTGATCAAGGGCAAGGAGGTCTGTGTGGCTGCAGCACAGGATCAGTTGGAGAGTGGCAAAGCAGGCCAGAAGAGGATGGAAGGCCGCGTTAGGGGGGGCCTTCAGGCCACTATAAGGCCATTAGTTTGTACTGTGTGAAATAAGAAGCCAGATGGGGGTTTTGATACAAGGAAGCACATGACCTAACTAGTGCTCTAAGAAGATTACTCAGGGTGCCATGTTGAGGATAGAGTCAAATCAGGAGAAGGATGGAAGCTGGGGGATCCATCAAGATGGTTCTATAAAAATACAAGCAAGAGTAATGAATGATAGGTGTAATGCTAACTTTCATACTAAAACATTAGTGATCTTAACAGCAATTCCCAAAACTTTTTGTGCTGTGAAAGCATAGCTGTGGTGTGAGCTTAGATTTATTCATACCATTCTTCAAATATGATGAAACAGCATTTTTGTTCGTTTAACTGCTATATTACTAACACTCTGAACCCTAGTCTCTCTTTTTCAGGGTGGGTTACTATTCTGCACTGTTTCATTTACAACAACAAAAACATGACTTTTGAGAAAATGACAGAGCCTTCTTTTCAGATCTCTTCTTCAATGGATTGGATGGCTGATGGTGTAAATCTTGAAATGAAAGGAAAAATGCATCTGGTATAAAAAGAAGAAAAAGACAAAGCTTGGGCTGTATATGGATTCCCCGTTCTTCTTCCTGCCTCCTCTGATTTATGTTCTCTCAAAGATCATCAATCATTCCCCTTGAGATGTATAAAAAACAAATGATTTCATTAGTATATATAAAACTTCCACAACAAAATACAAGAAATTAGTAGTATAAAAAACCAATAGGGTTATCTTCCTTAGTTTTAGAAAAAGCCAAGAAAACAGAAAGAAAAAAAATTCCACCTTAAAATGCAGTCCCTAAATATTCTGTTCCCCATTTTTATGCTCCTCACCTCTATCTCACAGTGTTTCCATATGTCTTCACTTTGGGAGACACATGTGCTTCTTTGCATTTCTTAGGGGCAGGGGTTATCACTTCTATGCACAGCTGAAAGGTGGGAAGGACTTGGAACTGCTGTAGAAAACGTTGAAATTTTAAATGTATAGAAGTCAATAAATTACAGTTATGGTTCTCAAAGGAATAAACTATTGATATATATATTATAAATGTTGGGTTTATATACTATCTGCAAAGCGATTACTTGAATACATTATATGCCAAAGAGGTAAACTACAAGTTTATGTAAATAAACCATAACTTTAAATTCTTCATATTGTCCTTTTAAAATTTCAATTCTGAAATTCCACTTAGAAGCTCAGAAATAACATGCAATGTGTTCTCTCATGTGTAGGTGTCTATGGCTATGTTGCCATGGTTAGTGGGTATTTAAAAATACCATAAAAGAAAGAAAATAATAACAAATGTTAACTTCCACCCTTTTCTCTGGATTCAGTAGCTAGAAGGGCAGATACATTTTCCCTAGGGTGCTGATTAGATGTGCACTGATCCAGCCACACTCCTTACCAGAATCTCTTCTTGCTACATACAGACATGAATATTTTTCAACGCCTGAGATGTGCAACTGAGCTTAGCAGTGAAACCTGCAGTTTGGCAAAGCTAACTAACACAGCAAACAGACTCATTAGCATTTTTAAAAGCTCAAATCACTATCCATTCTCATAAACTATTTAAGACCTTAGTGAAACAGCCACAGGTAGTATGACAAAATTATATTCTAAAGAACTGTCAAGCACAGATTCTCTTAAAGATCCATGGAGTGGCAGGGTAAATCAGTAGTGTAGCAAATTTCAACAAACTTGCCACCTCCTTCTTTCAATCCTGCTGTTCTCAGCAATTTCTTCCTTTTTAAAAAGGGGAGTCAAAATGTTTACACTGCTTTCTGACATGCTTCTTTAGCAACCTAAGCAAAGTATAAGGAGGTGGAAAAGCAGTAAGTTGCATAATAATATCATATATTGTTGATGAAAATACATAACACAGGAAATAAATCTCAATCTGAAAAATAAAACACTGTCCAAGCAGGTATTACTAATATGGCTGTTTATTCTTTCTAAGATTAAATCCAGATAAATCAAGCACACAAATTACCAGAAAATCTATATCTGATTTAAATAACATTTAATCCTTTTTGTTAAAAAATACCCGATTATTTAAGAAATACTTAATTTTTAGTATATTGAATAAAATAGGTTTCTGGAGATATGGTTCTTCATTAATTAGATACCTGGGCTGAAGTCAAACATAAAAGCACAAGGGATTTATTTTCTCTCTCAAGTTGCCCAATAAAAGTAACAGGTTTTGAGCCAACATGAGCTGGCTTGTAATTAGTGCTGTGAAATCTTAGGAAATCACTTAACCTGAGATATTTTTTACCCTCCTAAAATGAAGTTAACGGCACTTACCTTGAAGAATTGACAAATATCCAGGATATAGTTGACCCTTAATACATGATAATTATTACTATTACTACAGAAGGGAAATAGTAAAACATTATTTATGTATTTCCTATTCGCAATACTTTTTATTAATCACACATGCTTGTAATAATCATAAAATAATGTAATGTCAGGCAATCATTTTTTCTAAGTGTTCTACTTGTATTAACATTTAATATTTGTAATAACATACAAAGTAATACTCATTATTCTCATTTTACAAATAAGAAAACTGGAGAACAGAGAGGTTATGTAATTTGCTCAAGGTCATACAGCAGAGTTGAGATTCAAACCCTGGCAATGTGACTGTAGAGCTAAACCCTTTTACTATCTCATTAAAAGCCTGGAAATAACAGTAATGCAACATAACAGGCATTCCATCAATAAACACAAAAGGTGCTGTTATATTCTATGCTAGACACTAGTATTCAAAAGATCAAGCATCCAGTTGGGACACAGAGCCTATAACCTTTAAGAAGCTTCCAACATGGCGACTAGAAGCAGTTATACTACCTCAAAGTTATGACTCAAAACCTTGCTATTTCTATAGATAAAGGGAAAAAGATCCCTTTCAAACTACTGTTCTCCTTTTTATGTCCACATAAAAAGTAGGCCATAACTATCATTTACTTATGGAACGAATCGAGCTTTCTACATGTTCTGAACACATGTGACTAAAACTGGCACTGTTCTTTGTTCACCTTTATGTTAATATTTGTTCAGGAATGGGTACAAAAACTATTTTTATGATTGCTCTAGTATATTTAATATTATTATCAAAATGGATCATAAAAAGAATATCTGGTCTTTGAGAATGTTAGGTAAAAATGTGTATCAATATTAAAAATAACTCAAAAAGCACAGGAAGTTAGATAAAAGAATCTTTAGATAACACCATAGGTAAGAACAAACAATTCCGTATACAGATTGTTTCATTTTCTTCCTCTTGCCCTTCCTATGGTATCAATCATTATTGCCCTCTTTCTCAAATGTACAAATAATAAAGTATGTAGGCTTCAGAAAATATTTTATTAGCTTAAAAATAAGGTTTACTCTTACTTAAGATTATGTCATCAAAGTCAAGAAGCAATGGTGTATCATGTATAATTTATATATGTAAAGCAGAGTGATTAGCTTTTACTCTAATTTTAACTATTTGTTTCAAAGAACTGTACCACTGCTTACTACTTAGGTGAAAGTTATACTGAGGAAAAATAATTTTTATCATTTTTGCAATAAACACCGGTAACCAAAGGATAATTGGCAACATGGAAAGATTGGAAAGATGTAAATAAACTTTAAAGGTGCTTGACATAAAATTAATATAGAACTATTGGCTTTGCAAGCATTATCAGTCCAAATATGAATTTGGTTGCATGTACAAAAGACGACTGACTGCTCTCAGCATACTATACAATGCTCACCTGATTCTTTCTGTCTGCTGGCGACCCTTAGCACATGGCTGAAACTCGCAGGTGTTCCTTTTGAGATCTGGTTACTTCCGGACCTTCCTTTTCAGATTGTAATTCCCTCAGTTAAAAATGAGCATCCTTTATATATTTGCGTATTTTGCTTTTCAAGTGGTGTAATGGTGACAGGTCCTTTTGCAGGAGCTGGATTTTGTTTTCACAAGGAAATCTGAAGGTCCCTTCTAGGAAGATTTCAGGTACACTGAATTTCTAATTTGCTTAGGTACAGGACACTTTTACACTGGCTTTTGTGGACTTATCATTTCTTGGAGAAAGAAAGCTGTAGAGAGCATCTTTTAAATCATTGCCTAAAAACTGGCATTTAATTCATACCATGCCTTATCACGGTTTACATGTAACATTCCAAAGATGATATTTTCCTTGTCAGTTCAGCCATTATGGGACAGCATCAATGATGTTCATAAGAAAAAAATGCATTTTGCCACTCCTCTCACCTCCTTAGATTCCCACACTTAACTTTATTTGTGCGGTTTATTCAAATAGCAGTTTTCCTTATGAAATGGTGTAAGTAGGAACCATCTGGAAAGGTTACTGTGGAAACAGCACGGGCTGGGGGTGGGGCTAGGGAGCAAGAGATGCCATGACAACCTTTTACGGGTTTCCCAGGAAACATGGGTTGCTATGGGAACTGCATGAGTCAGGTCCGAATTAGTAACTTCCGCTGGAAGGGGTGTCTGCCACTTTAATCTTCTTGTGATACTGCAGAAGCTTATCTCTCAGCTTCATTAGGATTTTTTTTGTTTCTCCTAGCAGCACTGAAAAACATCTGTTTTAGACTGATGGATGTTAGCTGGGACATATGCACCCAACTTGACTGGAATTTTTTAGTCTAATGCTTTGCAAGTCCCAAAGTGTTAATTAGTCAGATCAGGAGGTTTTGGGCATTTCCTTTTCTTCAAAGCTGTTGAGATCCTTCAATTCCAGAAGGGGATGACTGAAACAGAAACTCCAAATAAACTGATGATGGGTTTATACCACGGTTCTACTTGACTTTTCATCCACATATCGAGAGTAGGTAATTGAACTAAACACTCAATAAATAATGTTACAGTGTCCACCAAGCTGAAGAATCATTTCAGTATTTGCTGGCTTTACTTAGTAAAGAACAACTACCTTTTGAGGTTAAACAGTTACTCTGAAGTCTAACTGTTCTTTAGTTTCATTTCCTCCCAGGATGTACTTAAAGGCAGGGGGCGTGTGCCAGAAATAAAGTTTAACTAGCGTTAAGTTTTTTGTTCACAGAATTAAGGAGAAGAAAAAAAAAAAAGGAGAGCTGAGATAATGCAGCCCACTTGCAAATCAGGCACCTGTTTCAGTATGAAGCACTAGGGAGAGGGAGAATGAAGCGTGCTTCCCACTTCTTCATGTCCTTTCCTCGATGGATGGTCTGGAAATGTATAAAATAAGGGCATACACAGACCAAGGGGGCACGTTTCACACGATACTGTGCACAGTATGTCATTCATATATTAAACATCAGTGAATATCTTTTTGATGTTGACACAAGAGTTGGGATTATTGTTCGTGGCGCAGGTGGCAGTGGAGTTGGCCGTTTTGAAAGGGGTCTGGGGGAAAGCGCTGTGGTTCATACCCCCCTCTTCGATCACCATGTACTCCGACTTACTCAGAGTCGAGTTACTCCGTGCTTTTCGGAGCTCCTCTGCCGAGGAGGAGAGGTGCTGGCAACTTCCCACGTGCATATACTGGGCTTGCTCTTCCCCTTCGGTCTCCCGGTGGTAGAAGTAATTGAAGTTGGAAACAATCACAGGAACTGGCAATGCAATGGTCAAGACACCCGCGATAGCACAAAGAGAGCCCACAATCTTGCCCCCAATGGTCACTGGGTGCATATCACCATAACCAACTGTTGTCATGGTTACCACTGCCCACCAAAAAGCATCCGGGATACTGCTAAAACCCGAACTGGGGTCGTCTGCCTCGGCGAAGTAGACGGCGCTGGAGAAGAGGATAACCCCAATAAAGAGAAAAAAGATGAGCAACCCCAACTCCCGCATGGAAGCCTTCAGCGTCTGCCCCAAGATCTGCAGCCCCTTGGAGTGACGGGAGAGCTTGAAGATGCGGAAAACCCTCACCAGGCGGATGACCCTCAGGATGGCCAGAGACATGGCCTGCTGTCCGTTGCCCTGCCGCTCAGCCAGCTCGGTGCCCAGAGTGATAAAATACGGGATAATGGCCACGATGTCTATTAGGTTCATGATATTTCGCGAGAAGGTGGCTTTGCTGGGGCAAGCGAAGAAACGCACCAGCAGCTCAAAAGAGAACCAGATGATGCACAGGGTCTCCACCACGAAGAAGGGATCGGAGAAACTGGAGGCTCCCGCGGGGGCCCCCGAGGTGCCGTTGCTGGCCGCCTTGAAGGTGTCCTGCGACGGCGAGGCAGGGTAGTCCTTCTCGTCGCGGAACTCGGGCAGCGTCTCCAGGCAGAAGATGACGATGGAGATGAGGATGACCAGCACGGACACGATGGCGATGCCCCGGGCCGGCCCGGAGCTCTCGGGGTACTCGAACAGCAGCCACACCTGGCGCTGGAAGTCGCGGCGGGGCAGGGGCCGCTCCTCCTCCCGCAGGAAGCCCTCGTCCTCGCGGAACTTCTCCATGGCCTCCTCGCCCAGTTGGTAGAAGCGGATCTCCTCCGAGAAGATGTCGATGGGCACGTTGACCGGCCGGCGGATGCGGCCCCCGGACTGGTAGTAGTAGAGGATGGCGTCGAAGCTGGGCCGGTTGCGGTCGAAGAAGTACTCATTGCGGAGCGGGTCGAAGTACCTCATGCGCCGCTTGGGGTCGCCCAGCAGCGTCTCGGGGAACTGGCAGAGGGTCTTGAGCTGCGTCTCGAAGCGCAGCCCCGAGATGTTGATGACCACGCGCTCC